ATATGAACATGTCCCATAGGAAATTATGTTAAATGGACTGTACTGCATTTCTGCTAAACGTAAAATGCTACAGAAAACACTTAGGTGTGAACCTACGGTAATGAAGTACATGTTTTTGCTTTTGCCAGTAGAAAAGTGTGTGAGGGTCAAGGGCGGACTGACAACTCATGGGGCCCCCGGGCAATAGGGGATCATGGGACCCCTGTGTCTTTGCCCAAACTCAAAAAAGCCTATGAAAAAGGTATCAGGGGCATCTTATGGGGACCCCTACTGACCCCGGACCCTCGGGCAGTGCCTGAGTTTCCAAATGGTCAGTCCGCCCCTGGTGGGGGTTGCCATCGCAGTATTACTCATTTGCCATAATGAATAAACATACAGTATTTTAAAATAACACATAGTACTGAGTATATACAGTGCATGCAGAGTGAACAGAGCTAGACCCTAAGAAATATAACAAGCAAGTGGAGTATTTAGCCCTTTGGCTTCCATTTTGACCTGATATGTCAGATTTGTGTAAATTTACCCTCTCTAGCTGGCAGGAACTGGAGGTGTGGGGAATATATATAGTCTGAAAATAACTCTTCTTTTTTGAGCTGTAGCAAGAAATATCTGGGGCTTGATTTGGCTTCATAGAAATAGGTTTATTGAAGAAATTGATTATAGATAAAACAATGGAATGTGACTGGCTGCTGTGGGTATTGAAAGCTGCTCTTCCTTCGGGCACTTTTATTCTTAACAGTATCAGCTGAATAAATGAGCGGCTGCTGTGGTTCTCTTGAAAACAATTTTCCTCACTTGGTAATCTAGCCAAGCAACACATTATTACTGGTTACTGTTGTCATATGCTTTATAAATGTTACATGTGCCCTATTACAACACCCAGCTGAGGCTGAAATAGCTAGATCTATTTCTGTATTTGACTACTCATATCCAGGGAAAGGCTGTAGAGTAATAATCAGCTGAACATACATGAGTTTGGTCCAGGGCAGGTTCAGCAAACATTACTACAGTTCGGGTGCTGAATCTGAACCTTATTGAAGTCAATGGGAGCCAAATGCTACAAAACAGGCAAATAGGCAAGGGACTGATGAACAAATGGCTGGGCCTTGCCCTGGGGAATATGTATCAAAGCAAAGTAAAATTTAGTAAAAATTCAATTTTGGCAAGAAGCAGCAATTTTAGTGTTGCTTAAAGTGAAATGTTAAATATGTGAAATTCCATTAAATAACAAGCCAGGGAGGGGGGTGCTTTTAACCTGCCTGTGAAGTGGGGCATCTGTTCAATGTATACAACCTACTGCAACAAAACTGATAATTAAAAAGAAAAAGTGTGTTTAAATTGTGGGCAAAATGACAGCTCCCATCCGCTTCATTCTGTTTGTAAACAAAGTGGAGCAAGAGTTCCCTTCATCTACTGTACCAGAATTTTATCTTAGATGAAGGTCTTATATAGATATTAATAGGGAACACTTCCACCAAAAAATGTTTTAAAAATGGTGTGCGGGTTCCCCCTTATAACAGACCCTTTGGTATGAATTTTAAGGGTGCCCACACAAAAAAAATGGCATTAGGTTCCCCCCTAAATTTTATATCAGACGCTTCAGGGCTAGTAGAGATTTTAAGGGTAACCCTATGCAGAAATCAAGGAAAAAAGCCTTAGGTCCCACCCAAAAATACAGACCTTTATTCAAGCCTGCAGCCTGTCAAGAATTGTGGGAGATGACGGTGTACTCCCCTGAACCATACCAGGTCACATGCCCTCAACATGGGGGGGGGGTGCCTTGCTGTGGGGGACCCCCATTGTAAAGTATCTTGTTCCCATGTTCATGAGAACAAGGGTCTCTTCTCCATAACACTTGCCTGATGTTTGTAGGGGTTGGCGGGAGGGGGCTTATCAGAATCTAAAGGCCTCCTTCAATAATAATGGGGCTTCCAGATACAGATCCTCCTATGTAAATGAGTAAGGGGTACATAGTACAGTTACTATTTTTAAGATATACATTTAGTTCTGATAAACTTCTGTGCATAGTTTTCATACAGACTGGCATATACCGTATATAAATGCAGACTATGCTTCCTGCACTGTAGCACTGCAAACAATTGCGCATCACTACTTTCAAGAATAGGTGATGATTATCCCATGTGTATGGTGGCTGATGAGCGCACTCAAATGTCAAATAAAGAAAACCAGTGGGGAAACAATACCTAACAGTCAGCATATATCTCTTTATCTTCACATTGCTGCAACCTACAGCCCATCCCCAGCGCAAAAGGCTAACTTAAATGAAAAAGGGCATCCAAGAGGTGCTGGGACTTTGATATGAGTTTAAAAAAGGTAATGAGAGGGCAGAAAACATTTGAAGAGCCCATTGGATCAAGTTAGGCTGCTGGCAACAGACAAGGCTACCCTACTGTGGATACTCCAGCACAGGGGCGGACTGACAACTCATGGGGCCCCCGGGCAATAGGGGATCATGTGGCCCCTGTGTCCTTGCCCAAGCTCAAAAAAGCCTATGAAAAAGGTACCAGGGGCATCTCATCGGGCCCCCTACTGACCCCGGGCCCTCGGGCAGTGCCCGAGTCTCCAAATGGTCAGTCGGCCCCTGCTCAAGCAGGTTACCAGGAAAAAGCTCCATACCAAACATTAGGAGTCAAAATTCATTTATAGATGTTATGTTAACCCTTTGCCTACCGGGCACTTATACCCTTTCCTGCCCAGGCCAATTTTCAGCTTTCAGCGCTGTCGCGCTTTGAATGACAATTGCGCGGTCATGCAACACTGTACCCGTATGAAATTTTATCATTTTTTTCACACAAATAGAGCTTTCTTTTGATGTTATTTAATTGCCACTGGGTGTTTTATTTTTTGCGCTGTAAACAAAAAAAAGCAAAAAATTTGCAAAAAAAAATGTTTTTCTTTGTTTCTATTATAAAATTTTGCAAACAGGTAATTTTTCTCCTTCACTGATGTGTGTTGATGAGGCTGCACTGATAGACAGCACTGATGGGTACTGATAGGCAGCACTGATGGGCACTGATGAGGTGGCACGGATAGGCAGCACTGATAGGAGGCACTGACAGGCGGCACTGATGGGCAGCACTGATGGGTGGCACTGATGGGCACAGATGGGTGGCACTGCTAGGCACTGCTGGGCACAGGTGGGTGGCACTGATGGGTACAGGTGGGCAGCACTGTTGGGCACAGGTGAGTGGCACAAGTTGGGCAGAACTGATGATCAGTGCCCTGATAATCAGTGCCGATCCCTTCGCTGGCAATTGCCAGTTATCAGCAGTACTTTCCTCACGCTGGGACAGCATGAGGAAAGTGCAGCCGATAACCGGCAACTGTATTTACCCGGTGATCTGCTGTGTCATTGGACACAGCTGATCACATGGTAGAAGGCCAATGTAATTGGCTTTTTACCGTATCGTGTGATCAGCTGTGTCCACAGGACACGGCGTTCACCGCGGCGCCGGTTGCAAACCACTGGGGGGCGCGCAGTGGGCTTGTTCTGGGAGGACGTCCATGGACGCCCTCCCAGAACAAGACAACCGCGCTGTAGCCATCTTTTGGCTATAGCGCGGTTGGGAAGTGGTTAAAAGAGAGCCAATGTGTTTTGGGGGTCAAAAGGAACAATGGCATCTACTTACCATGTAGAGTTTGATATCATTAATTTTGAAAATGAGTCCATTGCACCTTATCACTTAATATCGGATATTCACTCATCTCTTCATCCTCATTTCATTGCATGCATGTTTGTGAATATAGGATGCATGTACGTGCACGCACATGTCTATTTATGTTATCCATGATGTTTTACATTTGTTAGGCTCATGATTTTATCAGTCACAATTATTTTCACATTATATTATGTTTTATTGCAGCCCTGATGAAGGGGGAGTTCCTTTGACCCCTGAAACGAGTTGGCTGTCTTTTAACATAACATCAATAAATTAAAAATAAAAAAAGGTATTTTTTTTTCTAAAATAAAAACTAGTAAGCTTACCTGCCCTGTGCAATAGCATTGCACAAAGCGGTCCCTTACCTCCTCTTTTTGCATTTCCTTGCCGGAACTCTCCAGTCCTCCTCTTCAGTGAGTGCAGATGCACTACCAAGCCAGGCTGTGTGCGTCCTCACACATACAGCGTGGCTCAGCCACACCCCCAGCTCCCTCCTCCTACAATTTGATTGACAGCAGTAGGAGCCAAAGAAAGGAAGACAGAAATGGGGGGGGTCTTTCCGGTGGGAACAGAGACAGCAGTCCTAACAGTAGCCCCAAGATCTTGTCATTCTTATGTAAATGTGTTTTTATTGTTTTTTGTTGCTGTGTGATGTTTGGTTAAAGATGTACATTAGAAAGATATGAGACACACATTAAAGCGGAGTTCCACCTGGAAAAAAAAAAAAACTGTAGCTGATGACAGTCAATTACCCGTCTCTCGGTCCAGCGGGATCCTCACCACCGCTGGTTTCACCGGCCGTCTTCTCTTCCTGGTGCTGGCATCTTTAGTGTGGGCACCTGGCTGTGACAGCTTGTGGCTTCACAGCCGGGTGCCCACTGCGCATGCATGAGAAGCGCTGCGCTTTGTGAATGGTCGCGTAGTCTTCTTGGACCTGTAATGTGTCCCAGAAGACTATGAGGAGGAGGGAGGGGGGGAGGACAACTTCCACTTCCGATCGCCCTAGACGATAGCAGCAGAAGTGGGAGCGGGTACCTGTCAAATTCGGGTACCCACTCTCCCCCATTTCCCCAAAGGTGCCAATCCTTAATGGGGAGCGGGGGACAAAGACTTAAAGCGGAACTTCCCCTAATCCCACAACAGTAAAATCAGTCTGTATATGCAGTAAAGTTTGCTTGTTATATCACTGTGGAACCTAAGGGGTTAATCCTCTGCATTGTGTAAAAACACTGTTTGATCCTGACTTCTCTGATCCTACCCTTCTTCCAGTGTCCGCCTCTTATCTCCTGATAAGACATATTGTGTGGAGTCACTCTGCACATGCTCAGTTTGGTGTGTATTGCTAGAGAGTTTTTTTTATCTTGGGAGAGTGCATGTGATCAGCACAGGGCCAATCAGCACTGTCCAGACAGAAGTCAGTTACTAACCCCACAACAGTAAAATAAGCTTGTATATGCAGTAAAGTTTGCTTGTTATACTCACTGTGGACCTAAGGGGTTAATCCTTTGCATTGTGTAAAAACGTTGTTTGATCCTGACTTCTCTGAGCCTACCCTTCTTCCAGTGTCCCCCTCTTATCTCCTGATAAGACATATTGTGTGGAGTCACTCTGCACATGCTCAGTTTGGTGTGTATTGCTAGAGTGTTTTTGTTTTATTGGGAGAGTGCATGTGATCAGCACAGGGGCAATCAGCACTGTCCAGACAGAAGTCAGTTACTAACCCCACAACAGTAAAATAAGCTTGTATATGCAGTAAAGTTTGCTTGTTATACTCACTGTGGACCTAAGGGGTTAATCCTTTGCATTGTGTAAAAACGTTGTTTGATCCTGACTTCTCTGAGCCTACCCTTCTTCCAGTGTCCCCCTCTTATCTCCTGATAAGACATATTGTGTGGAGTCACTCTGCACATGCTCAGTTTGGTGTGTATTGCTAGAGTGTTTTTGTTTTATTGGGAGAGTGCATGTGATCAGCACAGGGGCAATCAGCACTGTCTAGATAGAGGTCAGGGGTTCTGCATCCTTCTAGAGGAGAATAAAAACTACAGGCTTTAACCAGTGCTCGGCTGGACACTGATAGAAGTCACAAGACTGCTCTAACTGCTGATGAGAAAAGGTATTTAGAAACTTATATTTACTAAAATAATTGCACATCCATGTTGTGTGTACTGTGGGAGGCCAGATAGTGTGAATGCAGGGCCTGGGTTTAGAAACAATTTAATGCAGCGCCATAATCATTAATACATCAGTAAATGTATTTTTAAATGCAAGTGCCTGAAGTTGACCTGGCATCAGTCTCTTGCAATCCTTGTACAACAGGGCTGGAGTGTGAGAGGAAAAAGCAGCAAAAGAAATCAATCAGTTCAAGTGCCGACATAGGCCATGCTGATAGGAAGAGTGAGCAGAACAACAGAGGGATTAGTTTATAAAAGTGCTTTTTTTTTTTTCCTTTCACTGTCCAGTTACAGACTAGGATGGGTCCAGAAGTGGGTTGAAAGAAGCATGTCATCAGACCAAGGACATCTATCAGCAGAAAAAGTACTTTGACTGAAATGAGAACAAAGGACGTCCGATCGGCTGCACTCCAAACAATCTACTTTATTGAACCAAGATAAAACCAATACAGACAGTGGAAATATAGTAAGGGACTGGCAGGTAAACGCGTTTCACGCTAAATACAGTGCTTAATCAGTACCCCTTATTATTTTTATTATTATTACTTTGACTGAAATCTCTGGATTGAAGCTGAATATTGGAGAAAAAGCAGTTTGTTTATATTAGCTTTAAATAGCCTATTTATTTTTATCTTGTTATTTTGCTTGGAGTTCTTATCCTCCACTTCTTGTTCTAACGCTCATCAGATAGACAGGAAGTGGGGAGAAATCTCACAAAATGGGAAAAAAGCAATAAAAGTTGAGGTTCTAATTTTATCACAGTATGGAGTCAATTCACTAAGAGTTAAATAATGACTGAAAAAATAACGCAGGCGGTAAATTTTTTGCAAATGTGCAATTCACTAAGAATTTTGTGGTAATTAACTCTTGCGATAAATATCTGTATTGTGGTAATTACCGCATATTTTCATACGGTAATTTGTCGCACGGTAGCTGGTTGTTAACCCCTTGACGCCGATCGCATGCAAATATGTGGCCTCTCGGCATCTGGGCCTTGTAACCGAGTGGCCGCATATTTGTGTGCAATTAAAAAATACATATTTACTGAGAGCGTGTACCCTGCGCTACCCTTTTCCGATCATGTGACCGCCGTGACGGCGAATCATGGCGGTCGCCTCCCGGCTTCTGAAACTCTTAAAGGGCCAGGAAGCTCCTGCGCCAAGTGGTTAAGGAAGCCAGCCGTAGTGTCCTTAACAACAAATAACTCATCAGCTGTCAGTGGATGTCCCACCAACAGCTGAATGAAAAGAAGACATGCCAGCAATTACAAATGATGAAAAAAACATTGTGAGGATCCCCCCATCCATACCAGATGCTTGGGTCCAGTATGGATTTTAAAGAAAACCCCACACCAAAATTAAAAAATAAAATGGCCCTTCGGCCTGGTATGGATTTTGGGGGAACCCCACGCCAATAAAAAACAAATGGCGTACGGGTCCCCTCACAATCCTAAGGGATTTTGGGTCTGGTATGGATTATGCTGTTTTTTTTAAAAAAGTTTGGTGTGGGGTCCTTCTTAATATCCATACCAGACTCCTAGAGGTTGGGGGGGACCCCTTGCTGCATCTGAAAAAACACCACATGTGATACCACCAGCAAAACCCTGATGATAAATATCGCATCTTTTTTTACTTTCTGTTGTATTTGTGAATTGGATTTAACAGCTTACCGCATGGTTTTTTTTGCGGTATTTACCGGCACGTTTTAAATTTTGCGTTGAATACCAAATAATTTTTTTTTGTGAATTAGACATTTTGTTACTGCATGCAATAATCTATGCAAATGAGTCACGTGACAATGTTATCACATATGGTAACCTTTAGTGAATTGACCCCTTTATCCTAAATTTTAAAAAGGTTTTACCTGGAGTTGGACTCTAAGGGCTCATTCATACCAGCACTGTTGGGCTTCATTAGGCAGTGTTGCCTGCAGCAGTCCCAGCACAAAAACAAGGCAATTTGGCTTTTGTGTTTTATGGCCTCGGTGTATTCCTTTAGTTCCATAGTGTTGGTATGAGCTGAAAACTAAAGGACATTTGCACAGCGCATTCTGATGAAATTAATACACTGCAGGATGTAGAATAACATGGACGTTTAAAAAAATGAAGGGAAAAAAAACAAGCACTGTATTGCGACAGGCATTAACACCATGCACCAGTGCACACATGTTATGCACACAATCTTTAGTGTTAAAATAGGGGAGGAATAAATGTTGAGGGGAGAGGGTTTACTGGAAATACTTTTTTCTCACCCCTGAGCAGTTTTTTAAATGGCTCCTGGATTTGAGAATTAATATATTTTGATTTAGCTAGTAGGACAATGAGGTGCAGACAATGAATAACCCTCAAGTCATTTTAGATGAAAAAAAGTTAACATTTGACTGCAATGAACCTTTTAATTTGTAATGGAATAAAAAATGACCAATTTCCTTTTGCAAAATGGTTTAACATTTCACTGCTGAATTGATAAAGGTGACACATTAAATAAATGTTGGTTTAGACAAAGTCCCACACTAATAAATTAAAAATTCAAATGAAAATGCATTTTAAAAGAGGAGATATTTGCTGGACTAGAATACTAATGATGGACGCATAGTGTTATGAATAGTCCCTGTAATTCTAATTAGGCTCATGCCATACCTGCCAGCCAGGCAGGAACAATAGAAATGAGTTTACTCTGGCTTCACATGTTGTCTCTTTAATCCTGCTTAAAGTCACTTACAAATAATTTAATTAATTACAATAACAAGAGTGTCAGAACTGACACCTACTGAAAGTCCTGTTTTTAGAAGATTGTTTTAAAGGTCACTGGGTGATAAATGCAGTATGAGCAACAATGCCACATTTCTCATTGAAATGTATTAAAAAAAAAATCATTTTCCTACACAAGATATTTGCCCTGGGCAAAGCTGATAGTATGACCCCACTTGTAAGGCAATATGATCAGATTCATGACTTGATTGCCATTTTTGTACTTCATTAATGATTGTTATAATATTGTATATATGAGTTTTCTCAACCAGGGACCAGTTGAACCCTAAGTTTATTCCTAATGGACAGGAGAACCCTTGTAACAAGTGAAAGACAGCATTTACTTGTTACTGACTACCTCTTTTTTTGGAGAAACCTTTTGTTTGCAACATGCTTCTGCATCATTTGAAAACCTGATATCAGGAATTGTGTGCACCTAAACCACCTTGCATTATATCACTAACATTTGCCACACCACAATCATCCCCAAAGATAAATAAAAATAAGGTATCCTTTACTGGTGAGGCTGATTAAAACTGTCCTGCCGTACTAATTTCATTCTTTGTCTCTATTATATTTGGACCTAGTCTTGCTAAATAACTGCCCTGCTACTGGCCAATATTATATTGTTCTATCATCTATGGGCTCTTACTAAGAGCATGACAGAAAGTGGCCAGCTGCAGTATAGTTTGTATCAGCAAGAATAGGGAGAGCTTCAGTCTTCAGTGAACTACTGGCCAATATCTATCTGCCGGTCAAAGTAGGTCTCTGACCCACATGTGGTAATGCTTCCTGAAAAAAAGCCTTTTTTCAAGCTGAAATGAATACGTTTGGGATGCTGCTGTAAGCTAAGCTAATGGTAAAAGAAAAAATTCCTGAAGATCCTTCCTGATATCCTGGTTCCAAAGCCTGATTGCACCATTTATGGTGGGCTCAGGCTTTGTGGTGGGCATGATATTGATAACACTATTCCACTTTCATCCATGCCAGCTTTCCTCAACGGTCATTGTCCTCCTTTGCCCTTCATGCTCATTATACATTATGGTTATTGTACTCCCTTACCATCCCTGGCCATTCTCCTCATTGGTCATAATCCTTGCCCACCAGTTATACACTCTCTACTAGGGATGCACCAACATTTCGGTGGCAGAAACATTTTTGGCCAAAAACACCCCTTTTGATCGTTGGCTGATATGAAAAAAAGCACTGATACAGGTAACGAAAAAACCCCTGCCCCTCGAATCCACCGCCTGCCCACCGCTGCCGCCACCAGCCGCCACTCAGTAGTTCTCAGCCTTATCTGAGAAACCATTGAATGATCCCGGCGCTGGGCATAGAGATGAGTGAAGGAAAGATGACCTTCATTCATCTCTATGCCCTTGGAGGACTGGAGCGATGTCTGGCCATTTTTTTTTTAAAGCACTAGATCAATGCTTTTTTTTGATCAAATGCTTTACATTGCAAAGGAGAGATGTGGGGTCTTATTGACCCCATATCTCTCCATAAAGAAAACCTGTCACTATTTATTTATATCACAAGGGATGCATGCATTTCTTGTGATAAGAATAAAAGTGATTATTTTTTTTTTAAAGGAACAGGGGAAAATAAATAAAAGTTTAAAGTGCCCCCATCCCCCCGTGCTCGCATGTAGTGGTGAAAACATACGTGTGCCACGCCCACATATGTAAATGCTGTTCAAACCACACATGTGAGTTATCGCCACGAACGTCAGAACAAGAGCAATAATTCTCACACTAGACCTCCTCTGTAACTTTACACTGCTAACCTGTAAAAGTTTTTATTTCAAAATGTTTTTATTGAAGATTTTCAATAACAGGGTAATGTTATAATAATGATGTTCAGTTCAATAAAAATTGCAGTCATACAATACAGTATTGGAACATGTGTACCCCACCATTTGGCTGGGGACAACTTAGGAATAAGGCAATAGTATCCTAGGTAGATATGGATATATACTGAACTTTGGTGAGGTCTAGAAAATGGTAGAGGGGTGTTAAACATGGGGAGAACAGGAAGAGGGTAGGGAGAGGAGGAGGAAGTTGTAATGGGATGGAGAGAGGAGTACTAGTCTAAAATGGATGGGTAGTTCAATTGTTTGTACAAAATCAAGTACCTGTAGAAATTTTTAAAGCTTCACCCATGAAGATTTTTAAGTGCTGCAGTTTCACGCCATTCCATGAGTGTGCGCAATTTTAAAGCATGACATGTTGGGTATCTATTTACTTGCCGTAACATCCTTTCATATTTAAAAAAAACCTGGG